CTGGTCTTCTCAAAGTGCATCTGTGATGAGCTTCTGTCTGATGGGACTTTTCTTACCAAACACTTTGCCACTCCTGGAGGGAACTTTCTTATGCCAAGGGTAGTAGGACTGGGCAGAAACATATTTGCAGGGTGAAAGGCACCCCATAAACCAGAGGAAACACAGTGGGTCTCCCAGGAGGCTGCATTTTTGGCCCAGAACACATCCCCAAACAACAACAGCATGCAGATATTTTGTCAACGCCATTTTTAACAGGGTTAAATTGAAGCACAAGGACAAGGACAAGGAAACCTTCCTGGGACAAGGAAACCCAGACTCTGGCTCCCAGGCTGGTCTGCCACAGCACTCAGATGCCTTTGCTCAATTCCTGTGTTCCTCTCTCAGCCCTGAGACCATTTCACAGCAAAATATTCCTCTATTCTGTTCCGCAAAATAGGTGGCAAAATATGCATTGCCACCAGGGTAAGCAGCAGCAACCACAAGCCCAAACACAATTTGTTTTTTTCCTCTCTTGGATGAAGATATGTCATGGACCACTTACTCAAGCTAAATACTTTTCAGTAATGCCCATTTTTTTAAGCTCATGTTTTAACTAGATCAATGTTGAGGCCACCCAAGTTACCAGCTAATGTCACTGTCACTTCCAGCATTCCCTAATCAGCCCCACCCTGAGCAGACAACAATCAATCTGTTCTTCATTTATTAAACATCACATTTTACCAGCTTCTTGGCCAAAGGCCTTCAAGACCCTTGCTTCCCAAAGAGAAGGGAGAAAACACAGCATCCTTGTGTGGCTATTCAAGGGCTTGGAGTCAAATTTTCCAGCAGGGAAGGCCCGTGGCGCTATCACTCAGCCAATGCATGTTCTGAGCAGTGCCCCAGCTCTGCTGGGAGCAGGGTCAGGCTCCGGGGCTGCTCCAGCGTTTTTTCCCACAAGTTCAGCCTGTGCTTGAGTCCTGCCCCAGCCCAAAAGCCTTTGCTGAGATGCCTTTGACAGAGGGAGTGAGCTGATCTGCCGACACGGGGCTGTCCCAGCAGATAAAATAAATATTTAGCTGGAGAACATCTAACAGTTTTCAAAGAGCCCGGGATGGCCCAGCATGTTTAGACTGTGTGCATAGCAAAGGCTGCTGCTGTCTTTAATCATTTTCTTATGTATTCCACGCTTTTATCTGGAGTTCTTCACAGTCCTCCACAGGGAGGTTTGTCCTGTTCATCTCTGCATCACAGATAAGGGAATGGGGGTGCAGCCAGCGAGGGTGCTGGGGGTGCTACATTTGGAGCTGCCGTTCTTTGTGTTCCCTCTCCAAGGCCAGAGCTCCTCCAACAAGATGCCATGGGAAGTGCTTTCCATGTTTTCCTGCTGGTGGTGGCCCTTGTGGCTGGTGCCACTTGTGCCCACATCTCAGCAGCAGTCCCTGTATCCCACTGTGCCTCTTGCCCCTGGATGCAGCCAGGAGATGGGCTTGCAAGGTGGCTCTGAATTACAGATGAAAAGCAATGTTGCTTTCTGTTCTGCTGCTTTGCATTGTGGAGTAACATCTCTTCTCTCTCAGCTTTATTTATTTATTACTTCATTTCACAGATGTTTTAATATAAAGTAATTAGTCCTGAGGGTAGCGTTAAGCCAAGAACAAATTAGGCTGTAACACAATGTCTCCCCTGCCTGGGTGCTCTGTTTTTTGGGAGCCCAGCAGGCAAGGCTGCTGCCTGGACTCTGCCTGAGCTCTGTAACCAGGAGCATCCCGAGGGGGCGCAGTGTTCTGTGGGCAGGATGGGGCACAGGGAGTTCTGCTTGGAGCAAGCTGCTGCTGGTGGGAGGTGTCAAAGGGAAGCTGCCCCCATCCCAGCCTCCCTTCAGCTCCCACCACGGCTGAAGGGGAGCCAGCTGAGTCTTAAGGCAAGAAATGAAGCATGGTTTTCTCTGGAAGCTGTATGGGCTTTAATGGGAGCCTGACCCAATGTCTTATAAATTTTTTATAATATAAATATTATAATTTTTTTTTAAAGAATTCCTTTTGAATTAACACATTTGCTTTCTCAGTACAAATGCATATTTCCCTTGCCCACAATTTCTCCCATACAACATTCTTTTGAATCAGATTTTCACAGAAACTTTTACTGAAAACAACAGCCTAGCAACCTGAGAAATATCCAGCCTAGCCAATACATCCCTATGGAAAAACTGTGACAAACTGATGGGTCATTCCCAAAGGGGGCTGTCTGAGCAGGAGCTGGCCCCAGAGTGGGGAAGGAGCATCCCCACACATCCCCAGACATAGCCCTGAAGTTACACCCCTGTGTAACTGTATAAAACACCCAGGGGTGTTGTATAGATCCCCCTGCTTCTCCCTATTTCCCTGTGTAGCCACAGAGGGAATCTCCGCAGAGGATGGGAAGTGTAAACCCAGATTTTATATCAGAAAGCAAAGTATACCTTTGTGTCCTGGGAACCTCATCATGCCTGGCTTTGCCAGCCCCCTCCATCTTCCAGCCCCATGGATCTAGGGGACTTGGGTCACATCCCAGGCTGGGCTACAAGGCACTTGAACCTTTTCAGAACCACCTTTTCACAAACTAAACTAATTTTTCAGGCCTTGCCTTCTTAAGGCCACCAGCTTTCCAAGAAATTTTAAATCCTCTAAAATTCACCCAAATCCCATAATCCCTCATGGAAACAAAGGCTGGACTGATTATTTTTTGCTAAAAGGTTGGCAGGCTTCCAGCTTTCTGAAATGCAGCTCTGCTGAAAGAAAAATCTTTTGTGGGCAAAATCATGTACTGGTGGTTTTGGAAAGACAAGTTAAAATAAGGCATTTCAGGAAAAATAAAAAGCCTTTAAAAATAGTCTTGAAGCTATCTCTATCCCCAAGTCTGGAAGAGGAAGGGTCACACTTATTTTTTATCTTCTTTCCCCCCTGCCCACTGAAAGAGAAAGGGGCAGGTGGTTTATTTTTAGGATCCTGTTCCTGCTGCAGATGCAAGAAAAGCCATTTTTCCCAAAGCTGGCTGGAGCTTTGTGTGCTGGGACAGCTGTGGGAACCTCTGTCTGCCCCAGCTATGAGAAAGTAGGGCTTGGAGGGGGTTTTGGAGACCAGGAAATTATTTGTGGGTGGCCAAATGAGGGTTGGGGTAGCTCTTCATTATCAAGGCAGTCATCAGGGGCTTTCTCACTGGGAGGTCTGCAAAGATTAAATGGGTGCTGCTGCAGCACCTCATCAGCAAAGGGCCTTTGAGTCTCCCCTCACAGCTGGTTTTGGGGTGGTAGGAGCAGGGGGAAGAGCAGCACCCACCCTGTGCCACCACCAAAGGGTGCCCTTGGGGAAGGGGCTCACATTCCTGAGCTGCTCCTCAGCTCTGGGGAGCATGGATGGGCAGGGAGGCATCTCACTCCCTGATGCCACAGCTCTTCCCAAACCCATCATAATCTCCTGAGAGTGCAAGGACCAGGGCTGCACAAAGCCCTCAGGATGTGGGTGCACAGTAGCTTTAGGGAGGCAGGAGGGGGTTGTAGGTTTGACTCCTTCCCTGCCATTCCTGATACATGATTTACCTCTGCTGCTGCCAGAAATGTGGAAATGTCTGGGTGAGCATGGCTGCCAATACCCCAAACCCTGTGCCCAAGTGGCAGGGGCCAGGTAAGAGGGTGTCACTTGCAAGGTGAAGCACAGCATCATTTGGGACACCCCTGCAATGACTTCTGTCCTCTCAGTTCTATAACAGCTTTTTGCAATTCCCCAGTCTAGCTTCTCCTTTACCATCCTAAATTACTGTCCATCCTGAAGCAATCCCTTCATTTTTAGTGACCACCTCATCCAGCCCGTGACACATGGCTCCAGCAAACTCCCTTCCTGGAGAAACATCCCCTCTGCTTCCCAGCTTTCATCTCCAGCAGGAGGACTTTGATTTTCTTGGCAGCTTTTGTGCCTCTGTAGAGGCCAGTGGCAATATGGGACCGTTCACCCTTGCCTGTGCTTTTGGAGCCCTTCAGGTTTATTAGACAGGATTTCCCTTTGCAAAAGCCCTGTCAACTCTCCCCAGACAATTAATTGCGTTCTTTGATACGGCTTCTGGTCATGTGGCCAGCACAGAAACGAGGTACAGACACCAAGAAAAGTCCTGAAGGCATTTTTCAATGTCCTGTGGAAAAGCAGCGCAGCTGCCCCAGTCCAGGAGCTGCTTACAGTGCTCTTGCTGGGAGAATACAAAACCCTCCCATGCACTGACTGCTGCACAGCCTCACAGCAGCTCCTCACCTTGCCTGGACCCCTTAATCCCCATGCCAGTGGATTTAATACCCCTGTATTAAAGAAGGCAGCTTATGGAGAGGCTGCTGGGAATTTATTAGCTGGGCTCTTGGGAGGCAGAGCCAATAAAATAGAAACTTAATGAGCAGCATGCTGGTCAAAGGAGTTTAAATAATACCTAGCAATCTACATCCTCCAACTCTTCACCTCCAAGGCTGAGCATCAGTGGAAGCAGCTACATCCGTGAGATCCCAGCAAGGGACCAGAGTCACTCTGGAACCCTGGGCATGGGTGAGGTGGGAGCCAAGACAGTTGCTTTAGATGATTTACAGAGTTAGTGGCACAGTGGTAGAATTAGCTGATTTATTTGAAAATTTTAAAAAAACCACACCAGAATGAGGAGAAGAATTGAATTACAATACTTTTGGTTTTTGCTAAATGTAAACAATAGCTCATGTTATTTTAGAATTTAGTTTTGTTAATAATACTGCAGGATGCACTGACAGCACCTTCCTGGTGCAAAGACTTTCCAGACACCTGTGAGGCACCACCAACTCTCAATTAGGCACAGGAAGGAAAGGCAGTGGTCCAAAAATTCAGTCAATCCAGTTTTAGGCTTCCTAATCCCAACTCAGAAGTGGTGAAGCCACATGAGAAGGCACTGATCCAGGATGAACTCGCTCCACCGGTTCAATTTTTTTTTTTTTTTTTTAAACAGGTTTCCTTTGAAGCATCAGGCTTCACCCCAGATCAGGTACCAGCTCATCTGTACATCTAACCTCCTTCCAGAGAGGCCACAAACCCTCCCCAGTGAGAGACATCCAGCCAGCCCAAGCTGTGCACAGCTCAGGGAAAGGCAACACATTTGTGCCAGAAATCTCCAGTCACTCCCCCTGCCCCCCTGAACATCAAACAGCAGAGCTGGCACTGCAAAGGCAGATATCAAATTGTAGTATCTGCTCCTGTCATGCTGAAGAGAAGCAGGAAAGGAGCAGTGGCTGCCTGCAGGAGATCTGCAGACAGCACCAGGGCTTGAGGATGCTCAGCACCAATGGCCAAGGGAATGACAGACATCCCACTGCTCCCCTGGAACCCCAGGGACAGTTCACTTGGATCTGCACTTCAAAGAAAGGGAGATACCAAGGGAAAAACAAGAACAACTGTGTGTGCAAGCCTTCTGGGTGCCTGTTGGCAGGAGAAGAGAGCCACAGCCCAGGCACCACAAAGGTGCACAGGGCTGCTCAGGAACTTTTCCTGAACTTTTCCAGGGTAAAATCAAAGGGATTCAAGTCAGGGTTGTGAGTAGCTGATCCAAGGGAATGTGGGAGCAGGACACATTTGCAGATGCAAGACATCTGCATTTGGAATGGGGAATAGGAGAGAAATGCACAAGGAAATGGATACAGGAGGGAAGGACCAGCACATGCCCAATTCTTTTTTCTCCCTTTCAAGTATCAGCCACGAAGTGCCAGAGGTCTCAGGCCACTGTGCCTGATGGGCCTCGGGATTCTGATGCTTCCAGTGGTCTCTTCCAGTGTCTCCATATGACTAATCCCAGCCGAACAGCAAAGATCAAACATGTCAGTGCCAGGAGAACAACTGGGGAAAAAACACAGAGGCATGTTAGGCATAAAAAATGACAGTTCCTCTTGTCATACTTCAGGTCCCAGAACAGGGGTGTTCAGGGAAAGAGAATAAAAACCACAATTGCCTGTACAGGATCCATTACCCCCAGAGTTCTATCTCTCAGAGTTTTACTGCTATGCAGTGAAACTTGCCCAATGCTTCCAGGTCAAGGAATGTCTAAAAAGGGGGAGGCTTCCTGGACACAGGAGTTAAAATACATTACATTAACAAAATATTCCAAGAATAGTTGAACTATATAAAGAAACATGTCTAGTTTGGGAAAAGTACATTCTCGTCCTACCAGCCAAACCAGCTGAACCACTAAGAATGAAGTTTTGCTGGTAAGCACTACCTACTGCAGAAGCAGATCTGCCTGCCAGAGACCATGCACACCTCCACATTCCTGGTGGCCACAACCATCAGGAGACCTCCAACCTCCAGTGCTGCCATGGCTGTGGCAGACAAGCTTTGCCAAGTCCTGCTGGGTGCTTTCAGACATGGCTGGGCTCCAGCTGCACTTAGAGCCAAGGGAACTGTTCTGGAGCAGCTCCAATGGTGGTTCCAGTCCAGCATTTAGCTTTGGCCACTGGTATGTGGCAGTGGGAAGGCTGAAGGGTGGGAACATGCTCCCTTCTGCTGACCCCGTGGTGGGAATAGGCATCTCAAACCATTTCAGCAGGATTCAGAGTTCACACAGCTCAGTGCCTTTCACGTCAGCACAAAACTGCTCATAATGGTACAGCTTCTGCCAGACTGTGATTGTACAGAATTTGGACAGCTTAAGCCCATTTACTACGGATGACTACACTCAACTCTGCTACAGTGGCTGGCAGCAACCAGATAATCCCAGGAAAACTTGTTAAGGCTAGCCTGGGCTCTGCATAGGGGAGGAGCATGTGAAGCCCTCTGTGGGTCAGAAGCTCATGCACTGCTCCCATATGCCCAAAAATACAGGGCAAATGGAAGTCC